TGGAAACAAAGTCTATGTAAATAGGGAAGGGTGATGGGAGTAAAGGGTGCATAGGTAATAGGGAAAAAAATAAGAACTAAGATACATCATGTTCAGGTACAAACACCCAAAGATAAATGTAAATGTATTGTATACCTAAAATGTACCAATTAATATATAAATAAATAAATTTAAAAACAAACAAACAAAAATAAATAAATAAAATTAGCTTGGAACACCTTGTTGTGTCAGAAAGTAAGCAAATGCTCAAAGAATAACAGGAACATGTAAAAAAAAAGACAAGGACGTCATCTTGAAAAGGTTACCACTGGTCAAATCTGGGACAGTGTGATCATGAAAATAAATGACAGTAAAAAATGCCCCATTACATTAAATAGAAATTATAAGTCCATATTGATAAATGTATATGCGAAAAAACTGAAAGTTTCATAAGTAACAGGATATTTACATAATTTCAAAATAACTGCTCCATAAAATATGTATTAATTACAATTTTAAAAGTGTAGTAGAAAAGCCTGGAGGTCATCACTCTAATGGTGGTCAAAGTGAATATCATAATAAAGGGACAAATCAAACTCTTGTTGGGACTGAAGGGATATAAAAACAGAATCACTTCTATGGAATTTGTACCAAGGATACAAAACCTGATCTAAGGGCCGGGGATTTAGCTCAGTAGTTCCGGCGCATACCTTGCAAACGCAAGGTCCCAAGTTCTATCCCTAGTACCACAAAACAAAACAAAACAAAACAAAACCTGATCTAATAATAAGGAAACATCAAACTCAAAATGTGGAATATTTTAGCTTATACTTTTCTGTATTGTCAATACTGAGAAACTACTCAAGACTGAAGGGATTAGAGGGATATTACAATTAAATGCAATGTATAATTCAGGAAAGGATCCTTTTTCTAGAAATGGCATTACTGGAGAAACTTGAATGGGGTTTCAGACAATGACTGCATCAGTGTTAATGTCCCGATTCTGATGGTTACATTGCAGTGATGTAGGAGAATGTCCTTGTTTTAGAAAATATACACTTAGGTCTTCAGTGGTGATAGGGCATCATATCTTTAACTCACTCTCAAAAGATTCACAGGAAAAAGTTCCTTACTCTTAAAAGAAATAAATACCAAAACAAGCTGTATCCCTTCCAATTTAGTAAAGATGGGACCAAAACATTTTCAGGGTGCCAACCATGGACTTAAAATACCCTATTTCTTTTATAGCATGGAGAAGAAGGAAGAGCACATCTCTTCCCCTTGCAAACTGCATTTCTTTAGGATATAGCTCCAGAGAATTACAAAAAGCCAGGTGGAGTCAGCTGCCTATAGAATTAAGTTTCCCAACCAAATGTGCCAGAAGAAAAGGGCTATGAATACTGACACCTTAAGCCACTGGATAACTAGGCAAGGCCCAGGCAGCCCTATTCCCAATGCCAGTTGCTTTTAGCTGTAAGATTTCCATCCCTAACATAATAGAATTTACTAATCCTGACCTATTATGAAAAAGGTAAAAAATAATGCCACAGTGTATGCACTGTACATAAAGTTCCCACACCTCTAGTCTTTATCCCATTCCTCAAGGAAGGAACAGAATAAACAATTGCGTTCATGAACAGTCACGACAGTAGAGTACCACCTGGCACAGCTATGGAACAATAGCACTTCATGTCATCTTAGTGAAGCCCTGGAGCAACAGATCTGTCATAACAATAAAATGCATTTACCTGTTGAATTAAAGAGGATTATATAGAAGGACTCATCCGTTTCTGGGATACCATCTTCATTAACATACACAGATAAGCTCTGCTCTCTACTTCCAGACTCAAACACAAGGGTTTCTCCTTTCTCAGCAGGAACAAAGTCTCCCTCTTCTGCAGTAGCTGTCCCATCCATGACAGCATACTGGACAGAGCAGGTAACATCCACAGATCCATTTCTGAGAACGGTGAAGTTAGCGGTATCCCCTTCCTGAACCTGTACTACATGAGGTGCTGAAATATGCAGAGAAGGAACACATGAGCTTCTCTGGCTCTATCCACATATCTGCAGATTGCTCTTGTCCTTTCTCTGTGCCACCCCAACAAGTGCCCTGTACGCTGTCTGTTAGGGTCAGCTCTGTCTCCAACTCTGACATGAGCCCTATGCTGACTTCAACAATCGAGGGCCCTCCTCCTGCCCTAACTGCTGCAGAAGCCAGTCTTCCACACCCAGCTTCCCAGTGAGTACGTACTGTTTGGAATCCTCTCCTCCTGCTTCATAGACCTCATTTTTAAGCTGAAGTTATAAGTTCCATGAGAACAGGCCCACATACCCTATGTGCTATCTTTTGCCACAGCAGTTGCCAGAAAGCTGAATAACAGACTACTTTGTTAAGAACGTACTAAGTGAAGGCTTGAAATAGGAAACAGTAAGTAAAATTCTAGAGATCTGAAAGGTCCAACACCAGTAACTTGACCGAAAGCCAATGTACAAAAAAAAAAAAAAAAAGGATTTAACAAATAATTAGAAATCAATTAACTTTCATAAGATGCCTCAGGTGACAAAAGAGAGTTCTAAAGATAGCAGTAAAGGGCCAGGGATTTAGATCAGTGGTTTTGCTGCCTGCTGTGCAAGCGCAAGGACCCAAGTTCAATCCCCGGTACCCAAAAAAAACCAAACAAATAAAGATAGCAGTAAAGTGAAAAAATGCAGAATTCTTAATATGCCAAATAAACATTGACCACTACAATACCAATATAAGCACTGACATTGTTTTGGCAAAAATATTCAGTTTAAAGCTATTTTAAAATACCTATGCTGTTGGGCCGGGGATTTAGTTCAGTGGTTTTGCCGCCTGCTGCGCAAGCACAAGGACCCAAGTTCGATCCCCGGTACCAAAAAAAAAAAAAAACCTATGTTGTTAAATACAGATGTAAATTGACTCAAGAAAGGTAGCATACAACCTGCAAAATAAATAGGGTCATCATTTCTTCTAATCCTCAGAGTTGCAGTTGTTTTATTTCCCACTTTAGCTCCTCTGGTTGCATTAAGTAGCATAATGGTAAATTCTTCGGTTTCCTCTGGAATCTTTGGGAAAACAGTACATATTTTAAGTTGAATGGTTTACACATAGAATTGAATTATATGTTCTTAAATTATTTCTCTTTTTTAAAAAGTTTATTAATTGTGCAAATGTTCATTTCCATTTCTAAGGCAGAAGCTTCCTAACGTACTCCTATGAGATTCAGAACGCTCCTAAATTATTTAAATGTTCATTCATCTAAGCAACCACTTTAACTAACCATAAAAACACAAAGCTTCTATTTTTTCTGTATGCAAATGGGAACTACGTTGTCTATAGAAAAAAATGGGACAGAAACATTACTTTTTTACACACACAGAAGAGTGTTCTCACTAAGCTCAGCCACCACTCAAAGGCCTCTTACAAACTACTGAGCCCCACATTAGTGGGCATGAAGACCGTACTTCCACCTCCTAACAAGGTAGTATTCCCACACCACTGAGCCTACATGAGGCCCTGTGCACAGTTTCTCTTCCACACCATCCACATGAAATAGTCCTCTTCCCATCCTAAAACCAAAGTGCCCGAACTGTGTCTTTTGAGGAACAGGCCTTCAAGGCTGATCTAAGTGCTGCCTCCTTGAGAAAGGCGTATTCTCCAGTTTCCAACTTGTTTCTCTCTACTGTCAGGAGATGAAACCCCACCTGGGATTGTGATCCCCACAGCCCAGAGTCCTGACTCTGAGCACGGTAAACGGCCTTTCTTCAAAGGGCTTAAGTACAAGCAAAGGCTACACCTCTCCCCCAACTCTGAGTCCCTGATATTTGACACGAGTGTGTCACTGACCACTGTCAGTTCTAACAGTGAAACACGTGCTCAGGGAGGCCAAAAAACATTGTCCTTTCACCTTATAGTGAGACACTGTCATGTCTGAGTTCATCACAGAGTCTATTACCATGTATTTAATTACTTAATTAAAAATAATAAGCAATAGGCCAGGGATTTAGCTCAGTGGTTTCGCCGTCTGCTGCGTGGGCACAAGGACCTGAGTTCGATCCCTGGTACCAAAAAAAAAAAAAACCCTAAGAAACTAAAATAAGAAAAATGGAGAGTGACAAGTACAACATTTACCTCATCTGGAAGGGAGTATATGGTGATATTTTTTGAAAATTCCTGATCGCCAAAGAAAATAGTCCCTTGCACAGGAAATACATCTTGTGTAAAGTCAGGACTAATCACCCATGATATGCTAACGTCACCAAAGTTGCCTCGATTTCTTATTACACCATAAACAGCTATGAAGTACAAACATAAATTATAATAAATATGAACACATATACCAAACTTTAAAACAAGTAAAGAAATTGCTCAAAATAAAAATGACACCTCTTTTCAATAAAAGCCAATTATTTGTTCAGCACATTCTCCAAGGTTCATATAAAAATATACTAGCCTAGTCATCCTTCAGCAGTTAAACGATTAATAAAAAAATAGAGTTAATCTTTTCCATCACCATGTGGAATTTAAGAGTCATGTGGCACAGGGACAGAAGAGTGGTCAGTTTGGTGCAATTACAATGAGGTCCTATAGAGGACCCTAAATGCTGAAGGCCTTTACAGGAAGCTTCACTTGCCCACCCAGAGTGATTTTCTCACCATGAACTGCTTTAAAAGTAAAATATTTCTCATTTTCTGCCACTGAAATAGTTTACTAGCAGTGGCACTTACTTTGCATGTTTTTCCAACTTATTGGACTTGATTCATCCCTGGGTGTTCGAACTATATTACATATGATTAACTGAAATCATCAGTGTCCTTCCAACACTTTGTAAGAAACAGAAACAGCAATCCTAAGTATGATTTTTAAAAAGACCAATTTCTATACTACTTGTAATTGCTAAAGCACGATGGGCAAATGAAAAGAACTAACTGCTGAAGAAATGAATTAAAAACATGATTCATTTCCTATTCAGTAGATGGAAATAAAACATAAGAAACAATAAATTACCACTGTAGATATCGTCTCCTTTGCTTTCATTTATCATCACAGTGAGCCCGTCAGAAACAAACTCTATAACTCCATGAGGGTCGTCGTTTTTTAGAATCGTTATGTTAACAACTGTCGCACTTCCCAACTCGCTTTCCCTTTCACCGTGGCTGCTGAGGACCACCCAGTAGTACTCATCCAGCTAAGATGAACAGGCCAGATGAGAAAATGCAAAGACATTTTCACAAGTAAAATGTGCAGGTATTTGACAATAGGAATATGCTCAGTTTTTCAGAAACACACAATGCCTAAAAAGGCAAAAGAGCTGATATTATTCCTAGAAATATTTTTAACATTCCCCTATCAATTAAAATATATCGGGATAAGAGTACATTATCCAAAAAAGAAAAAGATGAACACTGACACTTTTCTAAAATGGCAAGAAGTTAGGGTCATGTTGCTGACAATCTACAGTCAGCTGTGCACTGGTGTGTAAACATAATGGTACCATATGGTACCTGATTAAAACTTAAATCCACTGGCAAACTTAGTGCAAAGCCACACCATTAAAAATTTAGTCAATAAAGATCACATAAGGCTGATCATAAATAAAACTTAACTGATCACACACAGTCTCACTGTTTGGTGGGTTTAGTTATTTCTTTCTGGAGGATAAAAACACACCTTTCTAATTAGAGCGTCTATCTAATTTTCCAAACATGGGTACTTGTCCCTTCTTATGTCTTCTTGCCAATGTTCAAAATATTTATTTCATGATATACCAGATACTACCAACCTTCCATAAAACACAAAGGAAAAATGCAATCCAGTACCTCAGGAATGCCATCCAGTCTTGAGAGCAA